CGTGTCTGGGTTTGGCGGTTGTCAGGAGAACGGTACTTGCCTGACTGCATTGTGCCAAGTGTAAAGTTTGGTGGAGGGGGATTATGGTGTAGGGTTGTTACTCAGGGGTTGGGCTTGGCCCCCTAGTTCCAGTGAAGCGAACTCTTAAGGTGACATTTTGGACAAATTCATGCTCCCAACTTTGTGGGAGGAGTTTGGGGATGGCCCCTTCCTGTCCCAACATGACTGCACACCAGTGCACAAAGCAAGGTCCATAAAGACATGGAGGAGCCAGTTTGGGGTGGAGGAACTTGACTGTCCTGCACAGAGTCCTGACCTCAACCCCATAGAACACCTTTGGGATGAATTAGAGCGGAGACTGCGAGCCAGGCCTCCTCCCCCGACATCAGTGCCTGACCTGACAAATGTGCTTCTGGAAGAATGGTCCAACCTTCCCATAGACACCCTCCTAAACCTTGTGGACGGCCTTCCCAGAAGAGTTGAAGCTGTTATAGGTGCAAAGGGCGGGGCCAACTCAATTTTGAACCCTATGGACTAAGACTGGGGGGCCATTAAAGGTCATGTGCATGGTAAGGGCGGGGCCAACTCAATATTGAACCCTACGGACTAAGACTGGGGGGCCATTAAAGGTCATGTGCGTGGAAAGAGCGGGGCCAACTCAATATTGAACCCTACGGACTAAGACTGGGAGGCCATTAATGGTCATGTGTGTGGAAAGGCAGGCGGCCCAATACTTGGGGCAATATAGTGTGTGTGTATATATATATATATATATTACACCTTTATGGAGAGGAATAGCAGTGCCTGAAATAGTTTTACTGCTCGGGTGCATGTCTGTTCAGTAAGCGTGGCCACATCTCCCAGTGGAGGAGGGACAGGAAGAGGGGGTGGATTGCTGAAATCGTAACTTCCCCCTCTACATGACAGATGAAGTGCCCCTGCTGGGAAAACAAAAGTGGGGAGAAAAGAAATAACAGCTGATTCATGGCTATGGTAATGCTTGTTAATTATTTAGTCCAAACCATACTTCTCCTGTTACTAACCACTGCACTCTGTACCCTGGGCTGTATATGACATGCTCCTGACCACTGCACTCTGTACCCTGGGCTGTATATGACATGCTCCTGACCACTGCACTCTGTACCCTGGGCTGTATATGACATGCTCCTGACCACTGCACTCTGTACCCTGGGCTGTATATGACATGCTCCTGACCCGGGCACTCTGTACCCTGGGCTGTATATGACATACCCCTGACCACTGCACTCTGTACCCTGGGCTGTATATGACATGCTCCTGACCACTGCACTCTGTACCCTGGGCTGTATATGACATGCTCCTGACCCCGGCACTCTGTACCCTGGGCTGTATATGACATGCTCCCGACCCCGGCATTCTGTACCCTGGGCTGTATATATGACATGCCCCTGACCACTGCACTCTGTACCCTGGGCTGTATATGACATACCCCTGACCACTGCACTCTGTACCCTGGGCTGTATATGACATACCCCTGACCACTGCACTCTGTACCCTGGGCTGTATATGACATGCTCCTGACCACTGCACTCTGTACCCTGGGCTGTATATGACATACCCCTGACCACTGCACTCTGTACCCTGGGCTGTATATGACATACCCTTGACCACTGCACTCTGTACCCTGGGCTGTATATGACATACCCCTGACCACTGCACTCTGTACCCTGGGCTGTAATTTACATGCTCCTGACCACTGCACTCTGTACCCTGGGCTGTAATTTACATGCTCCTGACCACTGCACTCTGTACCCTGGGCTGTAATTTACATGCTCCTGACCACTGCACTCTGTACCCTGGGCTGTATATGACATGCTCTTGACAACCACGCTCTCTACCCTGGTCTGTATATGACATGCTCCTGACCAACGCACTCTGTACCCTGGTCTGTATAGGTCACACTCCTAACCACCGCACTCTGTACCCTGGGCTGTATATGACATGCTCCTGACCAACGCACTCTCTACCCTGGGCTGTATAGGACATGCTCCTGACCACCGCACTCTGTACCCTGATCTGTATATGACATGCTCCTGACCAATGCACTCTGTACTCTGGACTGTATAGGTCACACTCCTAACCACCGCACTCTGTACCCTGATCTGTATATGACATGCTCCTGACCACTGCACTCTGTAGCCTGGGCTGTATATGACATGCTCCTGACCACCGCACTCTGTACCCTGATCTGTATATGACATGCTCCTGACCACTGCAGTCTGTACCCTGGTCTGTATAGGTCACACTCCTAACCACCGCACTCTGTACCCTGAGCTGTATATGACATGCTCCTGACCACCGCACTCTCTACCCTGGGCTGTATAGGACATGCTCCTGACCACCGCACTCTGTACCCTGATCTGTATATGACATGCTCCTGACCACTGCACTCTGTAGCCTGGGCTGTTTATGACATGCTCCTGACCATTGTACACTATGACATGGTCTCCGGCCACTGTATGAGGTCCACCTTGCTAGTACAGGGTTGGACCCCCTTTTGCCTTTATTCTTCGTGACATGGATCCAACAAGGTGTTGGAAACATTCCTCAGAGAGTTTGCTCCATATGGTCATGATAGCGTCACGCAGTTGCTGCAGATTTGTCGGCTGCACATCCATGAACCATGGATACAAGGCAGGATGGATCCACCACACCATGACACCACCAGCCTGAACCACTGATACAAGGCAGGATGGATCCACCACACCATGACACCACCAGCCTGAACCACTGATACAAGGCAGGATGGATCCACCACATCATCACCACCACCACCAGCCTGAACCGTTGATACAAGGCAGGATGGATCCACCATATCATCACAACCTCCACCAGCCTAAACCATTGATACAAGGCAGGATGGATCCACCATATCATCACCACCTCCACCAGCCTGAACCATTGATACAAGGCAGGATGGATCCACCACATCATCACCACCACCACCAGCCTGAACTATTGATACCAGGCAGGATGGATCCACCACACCATGACACCACCACCACCAGCCTGAACCGTTGATACAAGGCAGGATAGATCCACCACACCATGACACCACCACCACCAGCCTGAACCGTTGATACAAGGCAGGATGGATTCACCACCACACCATGACACCATGACACCACCAGCCTGAACCGTTGATACAAAGCAGAATGGATCCACCACACCTTGACACCACCAACACCAGCCTGAACCGTTGATACAAGGCAGGATGGATCCCCCACACCATGACACCACCACCACCAGCCTGAACCGTGGATACAAGGCAGGATGGATCCATACTTTCATGTTGTTTACACCCAATTCTGACCCTACCATCTGAATGTTGCAGCTGAAATCAAGACTCATCAGACCTGGCAAGGTTTGTCCAATCTTCTATTGTCCAATTTTGGTGATCCTGTGCGAATTGTAGCCTCCGTTTCCTGTTCTTAGCTGACAGGAGTGGCACCCGGTGTGGTCTTCTGCTGCTGTAAACCATCTGCCTTCGGGAGTCACGCTTGTAACTGTCAATCTTGCAATGCCTCATGGGACTTGTAGTTTGGCAACAGCTGGAGGGCCGCCAGTTTGACACCCGCTTCCCGACCGCCCTATAGGAGAACTACTGCTACAGGGCGGCAGGGCTGCGCAAAATCACATGTATAGACACATGATTTTGTATTTCCAGGTAGCTTCCAATAGCGGCACGGGTAGGGGACGCGCACGTGCGTGCGCGCCCCTTACCCGTGCCGCCATTGGAAGCTACAGCTGTCAATTACTGGGCCCCAGACAGAGATTCCCCGGTGGCACCCGGCGATCAAATACCACCAAAAGAAAGGTCCATTTGTGGGGGAAAAAGGACGTAAATTTCGTTCAGGTGCAGCATTGCATGACCGCGCAATTGTCAGTTAAAGTGACTCAGCACGGAATCGCAACAGCCTGGTCAGGAAGGGGGGTAAATCCTATGGAAGGGGGAGGGGTTAAACTACCTCATCTCCGAAAAATATACTACCCTTCCTTACCAGCAATCTGGCGCTGCGTCACTTTAACAGACAATCGCGCAGTCATGCAACGCCGCACCCAAATGGAATTTACGAAATTTTTTCCCCACAAATGGAGCTTTCGTTTGGAGGTATTTAATCGCCTCTGCGTTTTTACTTTTTTGCATTATAACAAAAAAAACAGACAGACAATTTTCAAAACAATAAAATATTTTTTTGTTATTTTCTACTATAAAACATGTCCAATAAAAAAAATTAAAAAATCTAATTTCTTCATAAATTTAGGCCAAAATGGATTCTGCTCCATGTTTTTGGTAAAAAAAAAAAAAAAAAAATCCCAACAAGCGTATATTGATTAGTTCGCACAAACTTCATGGCGTCTACAAACTATGGGACGTATACTGGAATTTTTTATTTTATTTTTTTTCAGTAGTGATCGCGGAGATCAGCGACCTGCGATATTGTGGCGGACATTTTGACACTGACACTTTGCGGGAACCAGTGATCAGTGCTAAAAGTATACACTGATCACTGTACTAATGACACTGGTTGGGAAGGGGTTAACATCTAGGGTGATCAATGGGTTAAATGTTGCCTAGGTATGTGCTTGGTGTACACTAGGTGGTGCTGGTAACAAGGGAGAAGTGATGGATCGTGTTCCCAGCTCTGCTCTGACACTTTGTGGGAACCAGTGATAAAAATATACACTGACAGCAATGTTCAGGAAAGACATTTCCCGCACTCCAGGTATGAATATACCTTGAGGGTTGTGTGGGATCCCTGATGTGCAGCAACATTCCTATAGAAGACATTTCCCGCACTCCAGGCACTAATACACCTCAAGGGTTGTGCACGATCCCTGATGTCCAGCAATATTCCTATAGAAAGACATTTCCCGCACTCCAGGCACTAATACACCTCGAGGGTTGTGCACGATCCCTGATGTCCAGGAAGACAGGACTTCAGAGAGTAACATTTCCCTCACTCAGGACAGGAAAGTGGCTTCTTCCTCGTGTGCAGTCTCTGATGTCTGTAAAGATTTGACTTGTCTGAAAAACATTTCCCGCACTCAGGGCAGGAATACGGCTTCTCCCCCGCGTGAGACCTCTGATGCATGGACAGATGGGACTTCTGTGAAAAACGTTTCCCGCACTCAGGGCAGGAATAGGGCTTCTCCCCCATGTGAGATCTCTGATGTCTGTAAAGATTGGACTTCAGCGAAAAACATTTCCCGCACTCAGGACAGCAATACGGCTTCTCCCCCATGTGAGATGTCTGATGACTGTAAAGATGAGACTTTTGTGAAAAACATTTCCCGCACTCAGGGCAGGAATACGGCTTCTCCCCCGTGTGAGATTTCTGATGTCTGTAAACTTCAGTCTTCTGTGAAAAACATTTCCCGCACTCAGGGCAGGGGTAAGGCTTCTCCCCCGTGTGAGACCTTTTATGCACATTGAGACGGGATTTGTAACAAAAACACTTCCCGCACTCAGTGCAGGAGAACCTCTTCTCTGTTGGAAGGTCCCGCACCGTTTGAGGTTCCTCAGGATACGAAGAATCCGATGGTCCATGTACAGTGTGTGGTGCCGGGATGGACATTGGAGGGAGCCGGGTTTCCTCCTGGACTGGACTGTGTGATGTCCTCATCTTCTACTTTCCAGTCTGGAGACAAAGTGAGACAATCCTCGGAGGTTTTCCTCATCTCCCGGACATGGACTACAATAGAAAGACAAAGAGGATTATTAGACAGGAGCTGATTGGTTCCCCCAAACCAAAACTCCGCCCACATCAGGCAGCTTGGCCTCTGAGGAGCTTACAATTCCACCCTTAAGGGAACTAAATCTCCTACTACACTGCTGAAAAAATGAAAGGAAGACTTTGTAATCCGAGTCTAGCATCAAGTCAGTGACACTCCCGGGATATTGATCTGGACAGGTAAGTCACAGAGGGGGTTGTTTATCAGTTTTCAGCTGAACAGGTGCACTAGATGGGCAACAATAAGACGACCCCCAAAACAGGAATGGTTTTACAGGTGGAGGCCACTGACATTTTTTTCCCTCCTCATCTTTTCTGATGTTTTTGCCTTTGGCTAGGGTCGGTGTCACTACTGGTAGCATGAGGCCATACCTGGACCCTACAGAGGTTGCACAGGCAGTCCAACCCCTCCAGGATGGCACATCAATAGGTGCCATTGCCAGAAGGTTTGCTGTGTCTCCCAGCACAGTCTCAAGAGCATGGAGGAGATTCCAGGAGACAAGAGCATGGAGGAGATTCCAGGAGACAGGCAGTTCCTCTAGGAGATCTGGACGGGGCTGTAGAAGGTCCTTAACCCATCAGCAGGACCGATATCTGCTCCTTTGTGCAAGGAGGAACAGGATGAGCCCTGCCAGAGCCCTACAAAATGACCTCCAGCAGGCCACTGGTGTGAATGTCTCTGACCAAACAATCAGAAACAGACTTCATGAGGGTGGCCTGAGGGCCCGACGTCCTCTAGTGGGCCCTGTGCTCACTGTCCGGCACCATAGAGCTGGATTGGCATTGGCCATTGAACCCCAGAATTGGCCGGTCCACCACTGGCACCCTGTGCTTTTCACAGATGAGAGCAGGTTCCCCTGAGCACATGTGACAGACGTGAAAGGGTCTGGAGAAGCCATGGAGAACGTTCTGCTGCCTGTAACATGGTTCAGCATGACCGTTTTGGTGGTGGGTCAGTGATGGTCTGGGGAGGCATATCCATGGAGGGACGCACAGACCTCTACAGGCTAGACAATGGCACCCTGACTGCCATTAGGTATCGGGATGAAATCCTTGGACCCATTGTCAGACCCTATGCTGGTGCAGGGGGTCCTGGGTTTCTCCTGGTGCGGTGGGTCCTGGGTTCCTCCTGGTGCGGTGGGTCCTGGGTTCCTCCTGGTGCGGTGGGTCCTGGTTTCCTCTGGTGCGGTGGGTCCTGGGTTCCTCCTGGTGCGGTGGGTCCTGGGTTCCTCCTGGTGCGGTGGGTCCTGGGTTCCTCCTGGTGCGGTGGGATCCTGGGTTCCTGGGTTCCTGGTGTGGTGGGTCCTGGGTTCCTCCTGGTGCAGTGGATCCTGGGTTCCTCCTGGTGCCGGAAGTCCTGAGTTCCTCCTGGGGCAGTGGGGGGTTCCTCCTGGCAGTTCTGCTCCTCCTGGTGCGGTGGGTCCTGGGTTCCGGCCTCATGTGGGGAGAGTATGCAGGCAGTTTCTGGAGGATGAAGGAATTTATATCATTGAATGGTCCCCACACTCACCTGACCCAAATCCAATAGAACTCCTCTGGGATGTCATGTTTCGGGTCCATCTGACGCCGCCAGGTTGCACCTCAGACTGTCCAGGAGCTCAGTGATGCCCTGGTCCAGATCTGGGAGGATCCCCCAGGACACCATCCGTGGTCTCATTAGGACCCTCCCCCGACGTTGTCAGACATGCATACAAGCACATGGGGGCCACACAGACTACTGAGGACCATTCTGAGTTGCTGCAATGACATTTCACCAACATGGACTCGCCTGCTGCATCATTTCTTCACTTTGATTTTCGGGGTGTCTTTGAATTCAGTCCTCTGTAGGTCGGTCATTTTCATTTCCATCCAACGATGAGGCATCCTTACGTTCCTCACCCATCCCCCGTCCATGTCAGTATAGAGATCCAGCAGGAGATTCCTCCCCATTGAGATCTGATGGGTTGTCAAAGTCTTCCTTTCATTTTTGAGCCGTGTAGTTAATGTCTTTATTCATGGACCTTAGTCAGAGAGTGAAGACACAACAGAACTGTCTTTTATAGGAGTGACAGTGATGAGGGGTTTATGGGTTGAATGTCCTCACACCCCTCTATCACTCATCGCCATCTTCCCAACACCAGAAGACCTGCACTCCCTGATTCAGTCCATGATTTAGTCATGAAGAACAGCGGGGCTGAGCCCCACCAGAGGTCAGAGAGTGAGGATGGGGGGGGGAGAACAACCAAGATAAAGACTGGACTGATCCTAAAGACCACCATCATTGGTTTATTGACTCTTACTGACTCCTCCCCCATTATCACTTTCTGTTTAAGGTTCCAAAATTTGCGGATATTATCACATTATTGTCAACGTGTAAAAGTCTGTCCTCCAATCACATCAGACACTCACCGGCCACTTTACGAGGACCACCTGTTCAAAGGCTTGGTAACACAAAATAGCTAATCAGCCAATCACATGGCAGCAACTCAAAGCATTAAGGCCTCTAGATGTGGTGAAGACGACTCGCTGAAGTTCAAACTGAGCATCATAATGGGGAAGAAAGGGGATTTAAGTGACTTTGAACGTGGCATGGTTGTTGGCGCCAGACGGGCTGGTCTGAGGATTTCAAAAACTGCTGATCTACCGGGATTTTCAACCATCTCTAGGGTTCCCAGAGGATGGTCCGAAAAGAGAAAATATCTAGTGATCGGCAGTTGTGTGGAGGAAAATGCCTTGTTGAGGTCAGAGGTCAATATCTTGTTGAGGTCAGAGGTCAATGTCTTCTTGGTGTCAGAGGTCAGAGGAGAATGGGCAGACTGGTTGGAGATGAAAGAAAGGCAACAGTAACTCCAATAACCACTCGTTACACCAAGGTATGCAGGATACCATCTCTGAACGCACAACCTTGAAGCAGATGGGCTACAGCAGCAGAAGACCACGTCGTGTGCCACTCCTGTCAACTAAGAACAGGAAACGGAGGCTACAATTCACACAGGATCACCAAAACTGGACAACAGAAGATGGGAAAAAACGTTGCCTGGTCTGATGAGTCTGGATTTCTCCAGAGATGGTTGTGTGTGAAAATCCCAGCAGATCAGCAGTTTTTGAAATTCTCAGACCAGCCCGTCTGGCACCAACAACCATGCCACGTTCAAAGTCACTTAAATCCCCTTTCTTCCCCAGTCTGATGCTCATTTTGAACTTCGGTGAGTTGTCTTCCCTATCTATGATGGAGGGGATGTGTGATGAAGGGGGGGGGGGGGGGGGGGGGGGGGGTCTGTGATGAAAGGGGTCTGTGATGAGGGGAATCTGTGATGGAGGGGATCTGTGCCGAGGGGGATCTGTGATGAGAGGGGTCTGTGATGAGGGGGATCTGTGATGAGGGGGATCTGTGATGAGAGGGGTCTGTGATGAGAGGGGTCTGTGATGAGGAGGGGTCTGTGCTGAGGAGTTTGTCATAGAGGGGATCTGTGATGAGCATGGACTGTGATGAGGGGATCTGTGATGAGGGGTCTGTGATGGGGGGGTCAGTGCTGAAAGGGATCTGTGGTGGAGGGGGGTCTGTGCTGAGGAGTTTGTCATGGAGGGGATCTGTGATGAGCATGGACTGTGATGAGGGGATCTGTGATGGGGGGGGGGGGGGGGGGGGGGGGGGGTCAGTGCTGAAAGGGATCTGTGATGAGGGGATCTGTGATGGGGGGGGGGGGGTCAGTGCTGAAAGGGATCTGTGATGAGGGGGTCTGTGAATGAGAGGGGTCTGTGATGAGGGGGATCTGTGATGAGGGGGATCTGTAATGAGGGGATTGTCATGGAGGGGATCTGTGAAGAGCAGGGACTGTGATGAGGGGATCTGTGATGGGGGATCTGTGATGGAGGGGATCTGTGCTGAGAGGGATCTGTGCCGAGGGGGGGGTGTGATGAGAGCAGTCTGTGATGAGAGTGGTCTGCTATGAGGGGGATCTGTGCTGAAGGGATTGTCATGAAGTGGATATGTGATGAGCAGGGACTGTGATGAGGGGATCTGTGATGAGGGGGGGTCTGTGATGGGGGGTCAGTGCTGAGAGGGATCAGTGATGGAGGGGGGTCTGTGCTGAGGAGTTTGTCATGGAGGGGATCTGTGATGAGCAAGGTCTGTGATGGGATGTCAGTGATGGGGGGGTCCGTGATGGGGCATTCTGTGATGAGGAGGATCTGTGAGGAGTGGGGTCTGTAATGAGGGGGGTGTCATGGAGGAGATATGTGAAGCAGGGCAGGGGACTGTGATGAGGGGATCTGTGATGATGGGGGGGAGCAGGGACTGTGAATGAAGGGGGGGGTAATTGTCATGGAGGGGATATGTGAAGATCAGGGACTGTGATGAGGGATCTGTGATGGGGGGATCTGTGATGGGGGGGATCTGTGGTGGAGGGGATCTGTGTGAGGGGGGGTCTGTGATGAGAGCAGTCTGTGATGAGAGCGGTCTGTTATGAGGGGGATCTGTGCTGAAGGGATTGTCATGAAGTGGATATGTGATGAGCAGGGACTGTGATGGGATGTCAGTAAAGGGGGGGTCCGTGATGGGGCATTCTGTGATTAGGGGGATCTGTGATGAGGGGGGTCTGTAATGAGGGGGGTGTCATGGAGGAGAGATGTGAAGAGCAGGGATGTGATGGGGGGATCTGTGATGAGGGGGGGTCTGTAATGAGGGGATTGTCATGGAGGGGATATGTGAAGCAGGGACTGTGATGAGGGATCTGTGCTGAGAGGGATCTGTGATGAGGGGATCTGTGATGGAGGGGATCTGTGCTGAGAGGGATCTGTGATGGAGGGGATCTGTGCCGGGGGGGGGGGGGGGGGTCTGTGATGAGAGCAGTCTGTGATGAGAGCGGTCTGTTATGAGGGGGATCTGTGCTGAAGGTTTTGTCATGAAGTGGATATGTGATGAGCAGGGACTGTGATGAGGGGATCTGTGATGGGGGGTCAGTGCTCAGGGGGATCTGTGATGATAGGGATCTGTGCCAAGGGGGGTCTGTGATGAGAGGGGTCTGTGAGAGGGGGGTCTATGCTGAGGAGATTGTCATGGAGGGGATATGTGATGACAGGGACTGTGATGAGGGGGATCTGAGATTAGGGGGATCTGTGATGGAGGGGGGTCTGTGCTGAGACATTTGTCATGGAGGGGATCTGTGATGGAGGGGGGTCTGTGCTGAGGAGTTTGTCATGGGCATCTGTGATGAGCAAGGTCTGTGACGGGATGTCAGTGATGGGGGGGGGTCCGTGATGGGGGGTCCGTGATGGGGTGATCCGTGATGTAAAAAAGGGGGATGTGGTGGGGGGAGGTTGTGATGTGAAGGATCATGAAGGGTCATAGCACCAACATGACACTCGGACCTCCGCCAGAAAAAAATTTACTGCCCGGACCCCCGTAAATTGTAATTCAGTACCCCTGATCTATACTATGTGCAGCAATCTTCTTGCCTTGGGTCTGAGACTATACAGACATATCCCTCCACCCGGCACTGTCAGCAAACAACAGGGCAAGTAACCCCGGGAGAATTGCTAGATCCAAGCATGGGACACAAGACCTAAGGCACACACCCAAGTCAAGCAATGCCTATGGGGAAATCAACATTTTGATGCCAGCTGAACCCCACAATCTAAGCATTTCTGCCTCCCCCCCCCCTCCGCTATCATATCTGGCACCTTTTGGGGGGGGGGAGCGAATAGCTGGTTTTGACAGGTTTCCCGCTCCCACTTCTGGCTCAGTTCATCACAGTGAACGGATCCGGAAGTTCGGCGCCCCCTGCAGCCCTCTGGGACACTTCCAAGGTCCCAGATCACTGCAGCCCATTCACAAAGTGCAGCATGTGCAGTTGGAAACAGCGGTGAAGTTTCCCTTAGTCAAGATGGCGGTGCCAGCACCTGACAGCCGTTTGAAGAATCAGCTCAGGGTGAGGACACCGCTGGATGCAGGGACAGGTAAGAGTCCTATAATTAAAAGTCAGCACCTGCAGTATTTGTAGCTGTTGACTTTTAATTTTTTTTTTTGGGGGGGTTGGGGGGGGGAGGTGGCGAGGGGGCTGGTAATCGGTTTTAAATCCAGCCTAGACACATGAACTGCAGCACAGAGGACAAAGATTATCTGAGAGAAATACAGGACGGGGAGCACAGCTCAGAAAAGTGACCAGGATATTACAGGCTGGTATCGCCCAGTCCCCGCCCTACTTCTGGACCAATCAGTGGGCAGTATAGGTGGAGGGATGTATTTAGTATTAATGCCCCACCTGTGCTGATCTCTGTAGGAGTGTCCTCCTCTATAAATGTCACCATTATTCCATCCTCCTCCATAGACTGCCGCTCGTCCCTCACATATGTCTCGTCTTCTTCTGCTTTACCCTCAAATCCTCTATCGCTCAGATCTGCACCCTAAACCAGGAGAATGATAGAAAAGATCATCTGTAAAGTTTAATATCGTCACATCACATATAAAAAATCCACACATCACCTCCACGAGTCCACGTTCTAGATCAGGGGTGTCAAACTGGCGGTCCTCCATCTGTTGCGAAGCTACAAGTCCCATCATGCGTCTACCTTTGGGAAGTCATGTTTGTAACGGTCAGCCTTGCAATGCCTCATGGGACTTGTAGTTTGGAGGGCCGCCAGTTTGACACCCATGTTCTAGATGCCCTGTCCCACTAACCTTGTAATAGTGAGGGATGGTGTGACCTTCCTGTTTGGAATCCCAGGAATGCAGAGGATGGAGACATCTCTCTGGGGGGTTCCTGGTATTA